CATAATCTCAAATTTCAATACCGTGATAATTAACCCTGTTCTATCAAAACGTTATTTCCTAGCCTACTGCTAGTCTGGGGTCCCTCTCTACCTGTAAACAATGGGGCGTGTCAATATCTGCTATTTTTGCGCGGCTTCGGTCTCCGACCGTCTTTACTCTTTGTGGTTACGATGTATTCGGGGCGTAGTGAGTAGTCATGTCTGGTTTTCTTGTTAACTCGCGTTTCTCGGGCATTGTCAAGGTCGACTGCCCACTGGCACTGCGTGTATTAGCGCTGACGATTCGCATCGCTCGTCGCATTAGCGTCATCTTTTTCTATCCTTCGTCTGTCTCTGTCTCTTCCTCAGCTGTGGCTTTTCCGCTGACTCGACGGTTCTCGGTCAGTCGTTCCTCGACCTTCGTGTTGAGCGTATGAGTAGCTTCTCTCCCAGCTAGAGGCGAATTGCAAGTTCAGCAGTTTTACTCCACTTCTATCACTCGTAGTGCGCCTACGAATCACGCTTGCTTCCAACTAGCAAGCACGCTGAACCCAGTCAGCCATGTCCCTGGTTACGCTTCCTCTGCGTACCGGTTCCCTATCGAGTCCCTATCTGAGGCGACTCTTCACACAGTCCCCTGGACCGTTTATCCCCTCGCCTATTCCGTCAGGCGGGATATCGTGCCAACCTCCGTGGCGTCTCATAGGCCTGCCTTCTAGACGTCTTGACGTAGCAGCCTCTCTCGTTGCTCACAGCTCGACCAGCTGTTCCGTGACGTAGAACTGCTTCGTTCGCACTTTTGCCTTTCGCTGTAGTAGCTATCTCGGCGCTACCGATGGTGTTGCAGCGCTTGCATTCTGCTACGTGTTGGTGCCATCAGCTGATTCTCTAGGTCGCTTCTGTGTTCTATGTTGCTCGTTGTCCACTACTTCCGAGCTCGTAAAAACCAGGAGCGCTCGCGGCTCCATGTATACTGCCTGTGGTAACATTCCTGCCACTGTTGGTGCTCTCCCGCCCCTCTGTCCTCGGGCGGTGATCGTTTTTCTCAGGTTCCGACTGCGGCCCTCTTGGCCTTCCTCGCAGTTTCCTTCACTGCGTTTTCCCATGGTCGCGGTCTCTGCTCGCCGACCCTTAATTTGTGCTCGTTCACTCTCCGCCTCCCTGGCGGATGGTTTGTTAATCTTCTGGCCGTCTCTGGTTCCATATTATTTTCTTCTCAAGCCTTTTCTTTCTGGTTTGAGGCATCAGTCTCTTCGGAGTGCCGTTCGTGAATCCCACCGCTGCCACCACAGTACTTGTTGAGTAACATGGAAACTCAGGAACTTCATCAGGGGTTTCCTTGCCATGACTTGTGGACAGATGTGGTGAAGAAGCATCAGGTGCCCTGAACAATAACTGTAGGTTACACACAACAGTAGCACCATCATCCTCACAACTAGTTCCACACATACCTCTGATAGCAAGTGCACTGATGATGTTAGCCTTCAGGGCATCTAAAAACTGTCCGACAGTTGGAGTATTGTTCAAACCAGACTACGAACGAATAGCTTCAAATGTGTTCACAAGGTGATCATCAAATATCTGTTGCCAGGTATTCACCACAACACCCCACTGAAAGAACATTAAAAAGGAAATTAGTGGGCTTCCTCACATGATGGACTTCTTCAGATTTGAAAATAACACCGTTTACTTGAAAGGGACTGCCATTATAAAGATTTTGTATATTTCATTAAATTATTCCTCATAGCACTTGTCACCACCTTATTCTCTTTTAAATCATACTACTGATAGTGTGATCTGCTTTTTGAACATTTTTAATTACCCTAAAACATTTGAGATATCCTATATAACTTGTGTATTGATAAGTTTGTATTGTAGCATCCTGTTGCACTCTTCCATTTTATTATAAATCTTATTTTACAGTCTTATGTGAAACGATTTATTAACTTTAGGTTTAAAATTTAAAACTTAAAAAGTTGCACATAAGACAGTAAAATAAGATTTATAATAAAATTGTATATTGATGTACAGTTTCATAAGTAATGAATGATGACAATGACATTTGTTTGATCACAACTGGGTTCTTGGGACAATTACTTAAAAAATTAGCTCTCATTATTCTCGCTAGCCACTCCTCTCATAACAGAACATAATTCATAGTATAGAGTGCAGTGGTCCTTACCTGTAGCCAATACAGTGTTGTGCTTGCTGCAATGATTGATATGCCTGAGTTCCCCATCAGAAGCATTTATATTTACAGGGCTTAGGAGAAACGAGGTTTCTTTTACTGCAAAAGTTGGTGGCTGCTGTTGGTAATGGTTGCACTGAAAACATTTAAAGGAAGTGGAAGGACCGTGTGCATGGATAGGAATATGTGTTACAGGGAATGGTGGTGGTTGTAGGTGGTGGGAAATACAACATGAGTACAGTCTTCATGAGGCAAGGGATTCAAGGAAGGGACTGGAGATTGTGGGAGTGACTGTGAAGCAGAATCTGAGCCACATGGAACTGCTACTCTGTTCAGGTGTACCCTTTCAGCTGTAGTGAAATCACTGTCCAGGAAATGTTTGCTGCACA